ACTATTTAATTCAAGTTTTTTGGAATACATTATATTATGCAGTACTGTCGTATTCATTGTTTTAGCCAACTATAGTAATTATGATTATTTTGACATTGATTTATTTTAAAATAAATTATTTTTTTATTATATAACAATTTAAAATTTTATTAATACCATCTAATTCTATCAATAAACGATAATAGAAGAATATTTTACTAAAAATTGTATTATTTTCAAAAAATTTATTAGAAATATTGTCTTATTTTAATAGAAACTCCGATAAATGAAAATGAATAATGACTAATCATTAAATATTTTGCTGAAAATATTTAATTAGGTATTTTTTAATTAAAATATAATATATAATTATCTATATAATATTCATTTAGTTTCCAATTATAAAAAGCATTAACATTGTTTATTAAAACTATTTCAAATGATTCTTTACATTCAGTAGATTATTTTTTTTCATGATTAATAGGAAAAATTATTTAATATTGTCATAAAATTTATGACAGTGGAGATTTTAATTTATTTATTATAGCCTTATATAAATTGATTTGTAAACTTATATAATGTATAGATAATATATATATATATATATAATTATAAATATATATACATTAATACTAACAAGATACATTATTAAATCATTTTCAAAAGTAGGATCTGTTTTATGAATCATTTAGGAGAATAAAACTTTTTGCATATTTTACAGAGAAAGTTCAAGGAATAATCAGAATTTATAACAGAAATAATGTTACAAATAACATATGTAGAGCAGAAAATATGTAATATTCTTCCACGAGTTTTGGATTCCATCAAGTAACTGGTATGTAAATGATATTTATTATATATAACTTATATTATATTAATAATTGATAATAATATATTCATAAATAATGTTATATATATATTGTTTTTAATAATAACTATAATTTCATATAAAATATTTTGAAATTACATAATGTTTGTTAAAAACATTATACATGATTACTAAGGAAATTTTAAAATTTTGAAATATTATAAATGGATTTTCATATTAAAGAAGGATATCATTATATTGAATAATATTTAGGTAAGATGAAAACTTATATCAGTACTATCGTTTATTATTTTCTTTTAAATTTTATACAAATCAAAATTTGTATAACAAACTTGTATTTATAATAAATTACAGATGTAGATATTTTAATCATTCCTTGTCCTCATACTTCTAAATATATAAATATAATTTTTTAATTATATCGAAAGTCAATAATAAATTTAATCAAAATCGTTTAAATAATATTATTGGAAGTAAGATTATTAATATACGTGAAAAATCATATTATTATTTATGTTATCTGATTGTTTTAATCATAATAGGCAATCGTAATTTTAGAATTAATTTAACACAGAAATTATATAATACACCATATATGAGTATAATTGACAGTTGAATAAATATAATTAAAAATATTGTGATTATATTCAATTTCAATTCATATTATAGCCATAACATTTTTGTTTCGAAGAATTATCTTTCATTCGACGTTTTTTCATTGAAAGCAATTTCTGATAACTATATTAGATATGTAATAATAATAGTAATGAATTATAAAACTTAAGGCTTCTATTTTTTATTGCGACCACAATAACCATCGACTTTTTAAATAAAACATTATTGTACTTTAATTTAAAATAAAAAGTATAAATTTTTGTTTAATTACTTTAAATGGACATACTAATCGATTCATAAGTAATATTATTTCTGTTTTATCTATTATAAAAATGAAAAAAAATTATTTTATTAACATAAATTTAATACATAAGAATTTAACAGAATATATATATATATATTATAGAATGAATGATTTTTTTAGTGTCCAATTACATTTATCAAATAAATAATATTTTTTACTGCTTATATTTGTTTACGTTGCTTTGTTATTCTGTTTTATTTGATGCTGTTTAGTCTAAAATTATTTCAACGCCATATTTTTTTATAGATTACCAAGAGTTGTTAAATCAATAATTTATATAATAATATCAAATTTATTTTTTAAAACATAAAAAATTTACAAATAAATTATTTGTAAAGATTCATTATTAAAAATTAATTTGCATATTTTTATTATTAAATTTATTAATATTTAATATTGTAAAATTATTTAAATTTTTCTTTTTTTTAATCTGAAATTAATCAGTTTAATAAAAAATATTGTATCTTGAAATTTTTATAGTTAAATGCATATATTATTATTATACAATATATGATGACAAACACGCTAACAATCTATAATTGTATATAATTGATCAGAAATCTATAAAATATTTCCTCATCGACTTCTTTTATCATAACTGAACCATTAAAAATTCATTTAATGCTCTTTCAAATTCATTGCGTAAAACTTATAAGAATTAATTACCTTTTTATCTTTATGTTTAAAATATGTCATTTATTTAAATAAATTTTTTATACAAACGCAGTGAATTATTTATACATTTATCTCGAAAAAGTATTACATTTTACTTTAATAATATTATTTGATTTATCATCAATCGATTATTTGCTGTTTCGAGAAAAGATTTTGTTGTCAATTATTTATAATAAAGAATGAAGCACAAAATACGAATATATATTTAATTGACAATAAATAAGTTATAATTTGATACATATTTGGTTTTCGACATTCAATAGAAATTTTAGATTTTTCTTCCTTAGCATTAGTGTGTATTATTTTTTTATTTTTCATACCGTTTATATCTTATATATATTTAAATATTCTTCAGCCAATAATTTTGTAATTAATAATTTTCTTTCGAAATATAAAATTTTTTAGCTATATATAGTTTTTTTTTTTTTTTTTAATTGACAATGAAAATATATAGAAAATTAAATTTTATTTTTTGATAAAATCTATTAACACTTAGATTTAAATAATATATTATTCAACCACAGGTTATTAATTTTCAACATTTTTCATGATTAAAGTATTAGATGCATTGAATAATATATATCCGAAACCTTCAAATATAAATAAATAATATCGTGATTATCTATTTTGTTATGTTTGAACAAAATTTTCTTAACAATAGAAAATAAATTGATCGTAAATGAAAATCTTATCCACATAAATTGACCGTTATTTATGTAATAATATCATATTCTATATAATCATATCATGTATAAAAATTTTGATTATTTTATCTTAATTTTCAATGATAGTTTTGTTTAAATAAAATTTTTTATCTTATTTATTTATTCAACACGACAGATTATGCATTATAATAGAAATAAAAATCATGTTTAAATATAATTCAGATCAAGATTTGTTAAATAACTGTAAATAAATAATCTATTCATTGATTTCTGAATATAAGATTTGAATTTAACAAGTGTTCGAATAATACATTTTGCTGGAATATTTGAATAAATATTGTTACTACTCCGTAACAATTCTCTATAGCCAATAAATTGAGAACTACAACTGGCGTACGGTAAAATTTATTGATAGTAAAAAGTTATGGGACCAGTATAAACTGTTAAAAAATCATGAATGCTGATGAGAATTCATACGTTGAAATTTCATAAACTTCATTGTAAGAAAGTACTTAGTATAATTATGTAAAAATGTATAAGAAAAATTTGGATTTAATGGCTAATATTACAATTATCATCTGTTAACAATAATACGTTAATTATTAAGTATTTGAGTGATTTTCGAAGGGATACTATCTTTCTTTTAATTAAAACCTACATTTAATTATATTTAAAAATCACTTACTAAATTTATTTTTAATAATTTTAAGTTTTTGTATATGTAAAACTGTTGTTTATAATTAAAGTTTGATTTATGATTGTATTTAAACAATGTCGCGTATGATGCTACTATTAAATTGTCTTAAACGTTTAAAGAATCGTAAAAATATTTTTTCAGAAGAATAGTATCAGAAAAGAAGAACATCAATGTTAATAAATATATGTTGCTAAACATCATTAATAAAATAGAAATTTTGATAAATTTAGTCACAGCATATTACGTATATTAATAAGTTATAATTTTTGCGCATCAAACAAAAATATAATTTTGAAAAACTAATTTTTAATATATATGGAAGATGTAAAAAAAAATATTTATCCAAGTAGAAATTCAAATAGCTTTTTAACATTTCAAAAAAGCTAAATATTGGAAAGTTTATCAATAGAAAATATGTAAATTGATAACCGTCTAAATTTTTTTTTTTTATTGTAAACTTAAAATTTGTTAATTTGTTTCTCTCCATATTTTTTTACATGTAAATATATCATTGAATCTTCTATAATATTCTTTACATATGTATATATATATAAATTTTGTAATTTTCTATCCAATCATGAAATGAAAATATTTTCTAATCTTACCTTCTAATATTAGCTAATAAAGATATGCAGAAATATTGTATATTGGATATTCTGATGCATATCATGTTATATAGCTATAGAATATTTATATGAATATTTAGTATTTATTTTATTTATCCTTAGTCGTATTTTATCCTTAGATGTATCAATGATAATTAACGAATGTGTACTAATTCAATTGCATTCATCTTTTCATTTTCATAAAGTATTCAGGACATCTTTCAAGTTTTACCGTTCAACATTGTGTTAAACTTCCAATCAAGAAATTCTATGCCTTTGCATTAATATCACTGATATTATTATTATCAGCGCACCGACTATATATAATCATATCACGCTAGACTAGTCAATTAATATAGTAAAAAAGTTGGTCTGATGAAATCCGCCGTAAAAGCCCATCACGATAATGAAATATCGCAGATAATCCACGAGTGCAATTGCATTCTTAAAATCTCCGGTTGGTTCATTTTTTCGGCGACCGATTGCTGGCACATAATGAAGGAACGGAGTCTTGAGTCAACGGTGGCGGTGGCGGTGGCGGTGGCGGTGGCGGTGGCGGTGGCGGCGGCGGCGGCGGCGGCGGCGGCGACGGCAGCCATGGCAGCGTGAAACGCTGGGACGGATGGCCGGGTAACCCAGATCGCGGGTGCCGGCGGAGCGCCGATATCGTGTCTCACTGCAGTCCCGTGCCGTCCGTTGTCTGGGTGATTTCTTGTCGTCTCGATTCTCGCGCGGTACACGCCCCCACCCGGCTTTCGGGCACCACGTTCACGGAGATTCTCGGCGAAGGTGAGTGTAGTCGAGGTGCCGGTCAAGGAGACGCGCGCCCTCATGTCGATTCACCACGAGCGATTGTTGTTCAAGGAGTGCCTCCAGTGCTTTCGTCTCGCTTGCCTTACTTTTCAACGCGATACTTGTTTTCCTGGTCATCCTCATGTGTACACGTGTATGTATGGAAGATTATATGGTATGATATTTCATTTTATTATGTTGGATTTTCTTGACTTCCTTTTGTACCGTGAAATTCTCCTCTTATTTCAAAGAGATTTAGGAATTTACGAGAGAAAACGGTTTTACGATATGAATTTATCATAATCTATAGACACATACGCGCGCGCGCGCGCACACACACACACGCACACACAAACAAACAAAAAAACACACACACAGACATATTCGCAAATTGAAATGGGCGTGTAGATTTCTAATAAAATACGATTTTAAAATAAAAGACGAGCATTTTCTGTATCAAATGATAAATTTGATGTGAAATATCAGCATTCTTTCTATTAAAATTTTCTTCCGTATATCGAATATAATTAATTAACCAATAACTTTCAATGATATATTTATTTATAATTAAATATATCAATAGCGTTTATTCAGCTAATATATATTAATTAATCCCTTCTAATACTGTTAACATAGTTTATGAAATGAACGAATACCGTCAAATGATATGCGATTATTCATTATCACAAAGAGTTCGTATTAGAATTCATTATGGTGTAGAATAATAAGTAAGTGAGAGTTTGGTAGAAATGTTCCACAAATAACTTGCCGTACAACTAGCCATCGCTCGTTTCGAGTTTCCAAAATTCTGCTGTTGTCCTACATCCTATTTTGGAATTAATTTCAATTTATATTTTTTAAGTATTTTTAAACTTTTCACCTTGTGTTCATTATTTCTTCTAGAAAAATATACATGTATTTTCATTTATTTTTTTTTTTTTTTTTTTTTTTTTTTTTTTTTTTTTTTTTTTTTTTTTTACAATACATACGATAAATTAATTTCAATATACCAATTAAAGGTAATTGATTAGAATAATAATTGATTTATTATTAATTTTCGTTCAATTTTATTTAAATATTAACACTATTTTGATAAATTTAGGCTAATGAATCATTATTAATTATTTATTCATTTCAATAATTATCAATTATATTCTATTGTATACAAATTATAAATTTTAATTAATTACAAATTTAATAATAGGGAGGATAATTTATATTACTTAAAAATTATTTTCTATATCTCAATGTAGAGTGATCATTATTTAATTAATACTTTCTTTTATTAATAATTTCTTTTCATCTTACATTTAGGTATAATAAATAAAACGCTATCTGCATGAATTATCAGTGACAGCATTTATTAAATTTGGATAAAGATTTTATGTCCATGTAAGTACGAATTAATTATATATTTTTAAAAAACTTACATATATTATGATAATTAATTTTTACGTATATTATTTTATAATACACGATCGTAGAATATACAATATAAGTAGTATAGTATGAGGATAAATGTGATACATGATTAATTAGTTTAGGTTTGTACTATATACCTTTATAAAAACTAATATTTATAAATTCAATGTAATGTATCTATGAATATTTAATTTTATCATATAGTCGAATATTGGTTGGTTATTATCTGAATATAATTACATAAATTATTTAATAATGATTTGTTCGATTTTTGAAATATAAATTTAAGATAGTAATATGATATTGTGACTATAATATAATCCATGTAAGTATTGAATGCTACAAAATGTATGTATTTCGTGAAATAGACACGCCGTATTCGATAATTTATTAATACTTAAAAATAAAATAGTATCTATTAATTTTTTATAATCATTAAAAAATTTTATTCACTTATTTAAGGAAATGAATTATGTAATTTCTCTTACATTTCTTAATACATTTATTTAAAATGAACAAACTCACTTTTATTTGATACGTAAAAAAAGTGATACAAATTAAAAATCAATGCTTTTTATTAGTATTAAAAAGTTACTATGTAAGTAAATATTTTCACAAAGTCATTTTAAAAAAATCTTCAAAGAATGAAACATATTTATTTTGCAATGGTTTTAAAATATTATCAATATGTGTCACATTAATATATTGTCTTAATTTTTAAATGTATTTCATTTTGAATTTTTTATAGTAAACAGATGGGATATATTTTTTTGTATTTTATAAATCAAATTTCTAAACTGTTCCTATGATAAGCTTATTTATAAAATTCATTTTTAGGTTTAAAATTTATTACCAACAAATTTACATATTATTATTTCTGGTACGTAGGATCTTATTCTGAAAAACTAAATGTTTTTAATATTATTAATATAGTTATTGATATATAATAATAAAAATAATTACGTTTTATGAACAAAAACTTAAAACTTTTCTTAAACTTAAAAATTATCAAATTTCATATTTCAATATTTAATCTTATTTTATATTCACGGAAGTGAATTTGTGTTGACTAAACTCTTCTCACAAACTTTGACAGCTTAGCTTTGAACTTTTCATTTATGTAAGTAGGTTAAATTTCTATGTTAAATTTATGAAATATTATAAATCGTTTATAAATAGCATATATACTTTGTAAAAAAAAAAAAAAAAAAATGGTGATAAACTTTAATAGCAGCTTGCAAAACTTTTTTTGTAAATCACGTGTTGTAATTCTCAAAATTATTAAAAAAAATTAAAAAAACTATTAAAAAAAATATTCGTGACGATTATTTAAATAATTAAAGGTATTCAAACAATTCACAAACAGCTACTCAATATAACAAAAATTGTTTATATAATAGTTAAATAAGTTGTTATTGCTAAATTAATATATATTATACACACAAATAACAAGTTTCGTGATGAATCATTAAAATGTTTTATGCTAAGCACTCTTGTACTTGTTAAGAACAATTCTAGTTCTTAGAATGAGGTAATTGTAGGAAATTTCTAGGTCTTGTTTAACAAAGAATTGAATTATAATTTACAATTTCAGTTACATTGCTTTTATGTTGTTTCTTTATATATTTAATTTACATTATGTAGATTTATTAAAAAAAATTGTCAGTAAATTAACATTTATATTTTTTTTCATTCTATTACTAAACAGTTTTTACTGTATAGTAAAATTGTAAATTTAATTATTCTGAATATGTTATTATTAACACTTATTTAAAGTAATCGATGTATTACTTAATAGATTAATTTTATAGTAATTAGAAATATTATTTAAAAATATAATGGAATAAATTATTAGTTTACAAATGAAAATAATATTATATAGCTTTTACAATGAATTTTATATTTTGATTGTTTGGAATAAAAAAGAAATATACTAATTTTAGATAAAAATTGTCTAGGCACTGAAATATTCAAGTAATATTAGTACATATTACACATGTACAAAATTTAATGTCTATTACTATTGAAATCGAATTAATATTTGCCGTTATTTATTCTGCATGTATGATAACGTCGTACAGATTAATGTAATAAAAATGAAAGAATAATTCTGTTTTCAATTTAAATGATTCGTATAAAGTAATTTTGCATATAATATTAATTTATAAATCTTGATATAATAAAGTAAAAATAAACAATTATTATCTTACTAAAATGTCTCTAAGTAAAGAGTGTTTTTACATATGATTATTTTAATATGTTTTATCATTTAAATTATAAAAATTGATACAAGGCATAGCTATAACATATATATTACTACTATTTAATATATATAATTTAAACTTTTTTTTTATTTTCATCTACATGGAATTTTGATTCTTATCATACACGTATATATATATATATATATATATATATATACATATTTATATATACATTACTTTTTAAATACAATATTCATTTTAATATTTAATATAGCTGTTTAAAGAAATTTTTTTATCGCTAATTTTTTCAATAATTAAATAATTCAAATAAATTCAAATTAAATTCAAATAAATAATTAAAATGTTTCGAATGATTATATCATTATATACCCACACACACATACGCACACAACACGCGCACACAACACGCGCACACACACGCACGCACGCACGCACGCACGCACACACGCGCACATATACACACACGCACACACACACGCGCACACAAACACACACACACGCATACGCACATACGCACACAAAACGCGCGGGCACACACATGCACGCTCTTGCACATATGCATCTGTATGTATATGTATATAAGTATCTGTATATAATGAAATACAATTATTTATTAAAACAAAATCAATATTACACAAGTTTTCGTGACAAAAAATTCAGGTTATTAAACTTCTAAGTAAAGTGAAGCTCACACTAGTCCATTCAGAACATGTAGGACTCCTAAATTTTTCAATTTTACCGTTACATATCTTCACAAGTTTCTATTTTTATGATTCAACTGTTTCATAATCAGATAAATTAGATTTTTATTATTTTGTTATTATCTTAATAAAGGTTGTATTTGAGATTAATTGCACTGTCTTTAAATAATACTTGTTTTCTATTATTAAGATATTTAAATATAAGAACAATCATGAAATAGTAATTAAAATAACATAACTATTTTTATAAAAGCAAATTAAAACAACATAACTATTTTTACAAAAGTAATCTTCAATAATAAAATAATTTGTAATAAAATTAACAATTTATGAATGTTTACATTGCTATATATTAAATACTTGATTTTTAAATGATTCTACTTTCATAGAAAGTTTTATACTTAAATGGCATACATTTAAAAATTATTTATTTTAAAACGGTTCATAATTTTATTTACTATAACAAATTGATTTAGTGAAAAAATTCTATTTTTATAAAAATACTTTTAGATTTACATGTTCAATTTGGAAGGTATTTAAGAAGATATAAAAAAATCATAAATCTTATATGGATTGAATTTTGAAATAGCAACATCTTTATATCTCTCTTCTTCATCGTAAAATTGATCCAAAAAAAATTTTTAGCTTACGGAAGTGCCATCAGAAAACCTCAAACGTGGACAGATTACGATGTGTTCAAGTCATAATTACTCTTGACTTAAGTATAAACAGTGTGGTTTGTGACTACAGTCGAAAGAAAAAAGTATATACATTAGAGAAAAGAAAGGACAAGACAGTACATAGAGCGTCAAATAGTTTTAGAGAGATCAACGCAGGACGAACATGTGAGTAGCCGTGACATGATTATGAATGTGGTATAACATAGAAATAGGTATGCATGTTCGATTTGTGTAAGTGGATAATTCACCTCTATAATATTAATTGGAATACTTATGAGCTAATATTATTAACTACTATCATTATTTGTCATCTACATTTATTTATTGTATACTATCATTAATTAATTATTTTTATAAGGTACGGTCATTGATTTTCAGATATTGAAACTAATTGCCTTGACTTAATAGATATGGAAATCAATAATTTTTTATAATTATTTTATGAATTGAATTTACTTTAATTATTATTATTAAATATATTGATAATGAATTGCAAACATTTTATTTTGGGTTTTATTATTTTGTTTAGATAAACCATTAATGCAATTTATGATTATGTGTTGACATTCTATACTAAAATTGTTGGAAAGTACTTCCGATTATAATTTATATTAAACACAATACATACTTTGTTTTGGTTATACAGAGAAACACAAACTAAGAAAGATTAAATGACCACATAATCTTATCTATAAAACAGCATTTTTTTTTGTGCACAGAGTAACAATTAGAGATACCATTTTGAATAATAAAGTAAATATTTTTGTATACTAATATAAAGTTAGCAACAAAATAGTGGACCGAATACGAACATTTCCAATTTTTCCAAAATTTTATTAATTTATGTATAATGTATTGGAAATACAGGAAGTGATAAGTCTGAAATTGAATTAGACCGGAAATTATAGATCAGTTATTCTAATGATATTTTATTATCTCTACTATATTATAATTTAATCCATATAATTATTCTATATAGATGAATATAGCTAATTTAGCGGTTATATATATTTTTTTATATAATAAATTCATTGAAAGATTTATAAGATTTAAATATACTATTTTTATCTCGAGAAAATTTTTTCAATTAGATATTAAAAGTGAATGAAAATAGATTCTTTATGATAATCAATTGAAAAAGATAATGAAATTAATTGTAAAATCTTTTATAATTATTAAAGAAATATAAAACTGTTGGAATTTATACATATGCTACAAAATTTATACATTTATTTTAACTATGACCATCTATTTTTCATGTTTTAAAAGAAAAATTACAAAAAAATGCTACTGTATTGTATTTTATTACTTGTACTAATATAAATATTGCTTTTATTAATAATATCGTAATATATTATATTTGAGTAAACAAAAATTTCATAGAGTATAACGTTATTAAAAATTTTGATCTGAATAAATTTATTATATATTTTTACAAAATTATTTAAGAATCGTAAAAGTTTTAACAATGCAAGTGATGTCCAATAAAATTTGAAAATAGTAAAAATTACTTGAAAATATTAAAAATAATATTAAAAAATTCCTTATTGTTAAACGTACATTACATAATATTTACAAATCGGTATTTAATTTTTCGTTGCGTTAGTTGTAAAATTACAGTTATAGTTATTAAAATTACAGTATATTCGAGTTAGATTGAATGCAGTTGAATGTAGGTGATAAATGTCTTTAAATATATAATGAAGTATTTGTACAAATTAAGATAATTGTACAATTGGCTTATAAATATTCGTTACTATACCTTTCAATATTGTTGGATGAATTTATGTGGAAATTATAAGATTAGAACGAGAATTTGTATTTTAATGTAAATTTAACAAAAGGATTTATTTTCATAACGTATTACATAAAACTTTGATTACTGATTTAATTATGGCAAATGACACTAATTAAAAATTAATGAGATTATAGTGTTTCTAAATTTTGGAAGAGAAAAACTTATCGTTAATTTATACTTAGAAAACATTAAGTACAAACATTACATTAACTTTGTGAATGAAGATTATTATATTTTACAAAGATCGATTCAATATGTTCATTTTTTTTTTTTTTTTTTTTTTTTTTACAAATCGTAAATAAATCTTCTAATTTGATATTATAAAATCATACGTTAATCTTATTTAAACAAACGGCTGCATGCATTATCGTAAAATATATATACTTATATATTATTATATCGATTGTTTTTTCTTTTGTGAAATGATTATTAGAAAGTAAAAAAAGGAATTTTGATTTCCGAGAAAGAAAGACGGAGCAGAAGGGAGGATGCCGGTACCGATGGGTCGGCTCGGTGTCTTTGTCGCCGTGACCTTGTGCCTACTAGCAAGGCCGCCAATGGCGCTTGCTACCGCTCGGGCCAAGGCCATTGAGAGGTCCATCGACTTGACGAGTGGTAACTTTGGCAATGCTCTTGAGGAGGAGGATGTGCGACAACGGCACCCGCACGAGGTACTGGATAAGCCGAGTAAATTCGACCTGAATGTCGGTCAATACATGGAAACGGATGATGAAGGCTTGTTGGCAGGCGAACGAGTCGGAGGCGCGAGCTTGGGAAATGGTGTAAAAGTTAAGCCATTTGTAAGTGTTGCACGTTTAGTGAATAGTGATAGATTATCAGAATTCAGAATTAGTTCGATATTTTAATCTACTTAAAAAGAAAACGATTAAAAGGCTTAATCTAAAGTAAATTTTTTTAGTTTAAGCTACTTTCAGCATAGATTGATTTTGTATATGGAATAAAGAAAGGCGTCAATAATATCCTTTAAAATTAAAAACATAAAAAGTTATGAAATTTTATGAGACGTTTATATTTTATTGTTTTTTCGAATCCGTTCGAATAAGTATATTAGTTATTATAGCTGACGAATCAAAAAATTTATTTAATTTATGTTTTCTATTACGTGAGGCTAAATTAATGAACGTAGAAGACCTAATGAAAATAACTTCTTTTTTAGTAAATTCAATAAATTATTTATCTTTTATACTATACAAGTACAATCGATAATGTTGGATAGTCCAATTATCATTTCATTATTTCTTAGAAAATTAATAAGTATTACGACTTCGATATTCCGGGTAGCAGAATCGTTATATTATATATTTGTAAAATAATTCTCTATTTCATTCGCATAGATTGTTTTTAAATACAGTTTTTTTTTTTTATGTTAAATGTTAACTATTTTTAAAATATTATAATATACTAAAATTATATTAAAATTCTTGGAATATATTAATAATTTTACATTCTAATCAAAACATAAAGAAGAGATTTTTTTAAAAGTGCATTTGTTACATTTCATTAAACATTTTTTTTTTTCAATAAGTTATTTCAATTTATAAACCTTAGAAATCAATTATTGTATATACTTATTAAAATAAAAAAAATATATATATTAATTTATTTCATATATAAAAAATTTATATTCATTATTCATTATTCATTATTCATTTATTATTTATTATATTCATTATTTATATTCATATATCATAAATGAAACTTTGTACAATGTTTGGCATATTAATAAGATTGACTTCAAGTATACCATATAGTTTTCTGTATTAAAAATCAATAATTTATTATTAAAAGTTTTTATTTTAAATATTATAATTTATATGTTTAATGAAGATTTATTATTTATTTATAATCGTCAAATATTAAATATATCTATTTATTTGAAATTAGAAATTAATTTCTATTAATTATTCAATTACATCGTTTAAAATAAATAAACTATATATAGTTATAAATAAATTATTTGCTAAAGAAATCCTAAACATCATATATATGCTAATGATTATTTATTATTATAACGAATCAATGTTTGTTTCCAAATTTTTTTTTACAAGGTTCAGAAACCCACAAAAGCTGCAGCAAGTACATCAGAAGAAAATAGTGTTCAAATTTTGAAGTTCTTGAAATGCAATAATGAAACAATTTCAGTGAAGTGTATAAAGGGAATTGATAATTTTTTAAGGACGGTTTCGACGGTGGATAAGCTACAAATTACTGACTCTATAGAAATTGCAAAAAAAAATAAAGCTAATTCAGGAGACGAACTAAAACCTCTACATAATGTGAATAATACATCCTTGATAGACACAATTCATAGGTTTGCTCGTAATCATGTAGTGAAGATAAAATTGTGGAATGATTTACTTTCGCCCAGAGATTCACGCACGTTCTTCGGTAGTAAGTAAATTTTCCGTAATTTAAACTGAGGAAGGACACTAAAATTATAATAGAAAATTTGACTTTAATTAACTTTAATAAAATGCCTATTACTTAAGTGAATTAAACAAATTCTGATTAAATACTAAATAATAATAATATTAGGAATTGATTTTTGTAATAGTAAGAAAAAGAATAGAATATATTCCTTGTAAAATAATATTAAATATCAGTAGATTAAATAATGTTCTTAAATACATTAAATTTAACTTGATTATTTCAATTATACCATTAAAAAAAAAAAAAAAAAAAATCGATATTTCCATCTTATATTTAATATGAAAATAATTAGATAATAATTTGATACAATTGTAATTAATATAAAATCCAACTAACATTAAATTGAAATAAAATATGTTTATAAATTTCTTAAAATTTTAATAAACTTGTAAATTAAAGTGTGTCCATCCTCGGTCAAATTATTTCTTCTTATTGTTACATACTGCATATAATTTGCTTATAATATTCATTTTATACTTTTACGACCTTAATGACTTTCTTTTTGTATAATGAAATTCTGCTTAAAAGCATATGCATTTCAATCGCTTACTTATGTTTTGAACTTATAGAGATTCTGCTTTCAGCGGGTTAATAATGTGAAAGAGTACTAAACTAAACATTGAAGCGCGCTAAAACAGGTTTACATCTTTTGCTAGGTCACTACTACTATTTGTTTAATACTATAACTATTACTACTCCTACTGGCACTACTATCACCATCACAGCTTCCCACCACCTGCTTTTACCAAGTTTCACAAGTACCGGCTTTCACCGTGATAATCTAACGTAGATGAGGGTCCAATTTAAAGGCATAACTTTACATGAAATAAGTAACTGCATCTGCTTATTTATAAACAATATTGACAAAAATTCTAATATGGCTTTCTTAGATATCGACATAATTCATATATAGCAGTAAAACAATTCTTAAAAACGGTCTGTCCATTTACATTATGACATTGATTCGATATAAATAAACTTATAGTGTGAAAAAATTAATTGTATGCGTACAACACATAACTTGTAATTTTTTAGTCGAACATTATTTAAGTAGTTAATTAATTATATTTCTTTTACATATAAAACAGCAGGGAACTATCAACAATTATTTTTTTTTTAAATAAACGTATATTAACATTTGAATTTTTATATACAATATACTAAAAATTTTTTAATTATATTACCAGTACAAACGGTTTTCCAAACGTGTCCTTATTTATATACTTAGAATTTATAATTATTAGAAATTTGCAATTCACGAAGAGAAGCAAAATACTTAATTATATACATTTATCATATTCAAAGCTTATTTGTCAAAAAGAAAAGAATAAAGTAACTGTTTCTTCAAAATATTTAATATTTTGTTATGAAATTTCTTATAAAATGAAATATAAAGGTAAAAATAATTAGGTTCAATAAGCAAGTATTCAGCAGTAATTATAAAAACTGTTTGAAACGTATATTTTAGTATTTGCAGGGTATACATTTTTATGACAATTGTGTTCGCGTCATTTTATAAATAATAAAATAATATTATATGAACTGTAAATTAAATATACTTGTGGTTCATATAAATATTCTTCTTATTATAGATTGAGATAAAAGTACATTGCTCAATAATAATTCAGAAAAACAATTTATTTTATTTAAAAGTAATTATGTATTTGTTAGATATTTGTTAGATAGAAATATCTTCATTCACTAGGCATCACATTAGTATATAACAAATTTTAGTCAATCACAGAATTATAATAAGTAAGTTTTAAATTAATCAATAATAATGAATACTTTCATTATAAATGCATTCTTAAAAATGTTTTAAAACTACGAATCTAGCAATCTGTATTTATATAATATAAGAAATATATGAAAAGAAAAGAAAATTCAATATAACAATACTTTTTTTGTTTGCAATAAGTATTTGACAGTCAGTAGCGCAGTTAATGAATAAATAGCTTAGATAAACTCTTTTTAGATAAACTCTTGACTATAAATATCATTACAGCGACCCATCGACGTGGCAGTCAGATACATAACATGGTTCAAGGAACTAACCGCAATGCTTTAATTAGCCGGTACTTTTGCTTTCAGCTATTTTACAGGGAAAG